ACCAGAGACAGAGTGGGGAGCAGAACAGGCAGAGTGATGAAGTGCATTGCTGAGGGGAGTGAGACAGAAGTGGTCTTCCGCGCCATGTGGGTCACTTCCGGGGCGGGGATCACCTCGTGGATCACCTCTGGGGCGGTGATCGAACTTGCACTAAGGCTGCCAAGGCCAGCTTTGCAGTGCTGTGCTTAACCTGCTGTGCCACCAGAGAGGCCCTCTGTCCTCATTCATTCATTCTTTTTTTATTACTATTATTCTCTTTGTTTCTGTGTCTTCGAGGGTGCTGATTCATTCTTCCATTTCCTCTGTTCTGTTTTCATTACTTTTCCCAGCCTTCTTTATCTCCCCTAGTGGCCTTTTCTTTTCCTGCAATTCTTCTATTTCCTTTTTTAATGTCTCATTTTCTTTCTTCAGTTCGTTGATTGCTTGTCTCATATCTTTTTTTTTTCTTTTTCATTTCTTTCATTCATTTCTTTGTTTGCATTCTTCAACTCCTTGATAGCTTGCCTCATTTCATTTTTTTCCTTCTCATCTTCTTTTTGTTTGTTTATCATGGTGATTCTAAATTCTCTACGTGGTAGGCTGAGCCATTCTTCTATTTCTTTGGTGGTTTCTGCTGACTGATCTTTTTGTGGTGAATTGTCTCCCTGTGGACTTGCTTGAGTATTTGTTTGTCTTCTTTTCCCTGCTGTGTATTTTCTAATACTTTCTATTCGTTGAGACACGGTGTTGCTATTATTGACCAGCATTCTTTCTGGATGTTCTTTTTGGGATGACAGGGGGACTTCCAGACATTTCAGTTGTGGAGGGTATGCTGAGCCTTGTTTTGTTTCATTATCTCCTGGTTTTCCAGCCCCCCACTGTGTGGAATTATGTCTGTGGTCTCTGCCAATGACGCTCAGGGGTCTCTTGTGGTGTTGAGCTTCTTCTGGTAACTCGTTGAGTCCTTGTCTCTGGAAGGTGCCAGATCTTTGTAGCCTTCTAATGTCCCCGGTTCCCTCTATGCTTGGATGCAGCCATGGGGGGGTGGGGCACATTAGAACTGTTGCAGCTGGGCCTGTGGTAGAGCCAGTCACTGGTTTTGTTTATTTTCTGAGCACTGTGAGCCTTGCAAGGCAGTGCCTTCCTGGCTCACATGTCTTCCGGCCACTGCTATTCAGCAACACCTTGAGTCCTAGTTCTGCACACCCCCTAGTTGTGCAGGCTGTCAGTCCTCCCTCTAGGCCTCCCAGACTCTTTGTGCCCACTCAGAGCTGTCTCTCCCTGGACAGTCTTTCTCTACCACTTGGGGGAGTGTTAATGGACCTGTTTTGATTCAGGCTGTTTTTTCCCCCCTTTTATCTCATGGGCTTTGTGAACTTGCTGGCCCCACCTTAGTGACTAATGGTGGGAACAGGGCTCCAGGCCTATGCTGTGGGGTGAGTGAAAGGGTTGCCCACCTTACAGCTGCCCCAGTCACCAGATCACCAGATTTTTCCCCCCACCCCCAGCTTTGTGTGCCCGTTTGTGTTTGCACAATCTTTTCCCCCTGCTCAGTTCTTCTCACCTAGCGGAGATCAGAGTTTCAGGGTTCAGCTTATCCTGTCTGTGGCTCTTCCGGCTAGGAGTTCCCTTATCGGAACTCCCCAATCCCCGATTCTCCCTCAGTTATCTTCCTTCCAGTGAGTCCAGGGTGTTCTCATTTGGGTTGAAACTCATAGCATGTAAGTCTGTAGTCCGTTTTTATATAATCCCATGTGAGTTTGGACACAGTCCTCTCGGAGTCTTACTCTGCCGCCATCTTGCCCTCCTAAGCTGGCCGAGCTGGTCCGTCAGTAACTTTGCCCAATGCCCCAGTTCTCTGGATCAGGTCTGCAGTCTTTACTCAGCCTGGGCTCCACTCACCGAGCTGAGCTGTCCCCCTTCACCTCCAGGGCTTCAGTGAGGGTAAAGCGGCTCCTGCAGCCCACCAAAACTCCAGGCGCCTGAGCCCTCCAGGGAGGGAGTTCTCTCATTGAAACTCCCAATTGCTGATTCTCCCTCAAGTTATCTGCCTTCTAGTGAGTCCAGGGTGTTCTCATTTGGTTGAAACTCGTCGTATGTAAGTCTATATTCCGTCTTCAGTCCTAAATTCCTGCGCAAGCCTGGATGCAGTGATCTCAGTTTCTTTACTCTGCCGTCATCTTCGGAAACATCCCTGTCCTCATTCATTCTTAACTGACCACGTTCAATTGAGAAAGCGCTGCTTTCTTAGCACTAGGGGAGAAGACAGAGCTTCCCTCCCTCAGGACGTCTCCAATGCAATGTGCACTAAGTAGGCTTCTTGGTGAGGTAACTGTCTAGACACTCCCATAGAGCCACCGCCTGACCACTGTCCTCTAAATAACAGTACCTCCCTTCAGATCACCCACTTTGATGACCATAATCCTCTTCTCTCTCCAACCCTGCCCCAGTTCACACATAAGCCATTAAGGAAATGGTTCACACACTTTTGCAACCCACTTTTATATCTGTGGTTTTCTACTAGGGTGTACGGATACCGCCTTGGAATTTAAATGTGTGGTATGAGAGAAACCTGTAAAATTTCAGCTGTCTGGAATCATCTTTCAGACTTTTGATTGAAGCACATTCTGGGTCACTTGGATCACCCAGTACTGACATGAGTGCTCAGGGCCCTTGTATTTATTTCTTGTATTAAGAGTGGCCCTGGCCCCATGGGGTCTAACACAGCCTCAGCTATTTGGCCTGTTTTCTTGAAGCTTCCAGGTCTGCAGGTTTCAGAAACTGAACTGCTATCTCTTGGCCACACTGCTTGGTCACGCAAATTTCTTCATAGCACAAGGGTTCTGGGCAGGGCCACCTTGGTGCATTCTTAAAAGTGTCTTCCTGTTCAATATGGATACTACTCTGAGGCTGTGTTTTCCCCAGAAATATTTTTTTGTTCAACTCTCACAGAAGTGATATAGGACTGGCATCGACTGTGCCCAGACTAATTCTTCTGAAACGTAACTGTTTGCAATGCTTCTCTCCGTAATTCTTTCCTGTTCTCATCTGAATTAAGAACAGACTCCTCACTTTAAATATGTTACCCTGGCCTGTACACCAGCTAACCCCTCCTCGTATCTTACACGTTGGCCAAGTGGGATCCGAGCACGCTGTGTGCCTTCAGGTCTGTCTGTTCACGGGTGTGCACGTCTCACCACCAGCAACGTGACAGCAGTACCTGCCTCCTCTCATCATAGTACTGGAGCATCCATTCCCTGCCCTGCCATAACTTAAGCTGCCATGAACTATTTCCATTGTCTCCCCAACCCTGGAAATACCATCTTTTCTCACAACCAGCATGATGTGGTTGGAGAAACAAACCTTGGGGCCAAAAATATCTGCATTTGCATCGTCTTAGCCAAGCCCTTTTCTTTTCCTCTATCAGCCAAAAACAAAAACAAAGCCAAAATACCTACTCACCATCTGCACAAAGCTTTGAGGGCTGAGTGCTTGGTTCCTGCCAATCCCAAGCAGGGTGTGCCCACAGTAAGCACACCTTTCCTTGAGTCCTTCCTTGGAACCCTTTGTTTCTACTCTTAGGAACCATTTCTGTTGAACAGTCTTTCCTGTGCCCATTTTTGTGCTTTTTCGTGGCTTGGTTGCCTTTACCCTGTGGACTGAAAGCTCTGTGAAGACAAGACTGCACCTCATGTCCCACTGGTGCTGCCACAGGTTTTGTACCCAGAGAGGCTGCCAAACTCAACTGGACTAGTCATCTTCTCAGAGCTTCCCACATCTAGGCAAAAATGAATCTGACTAGTCTGTCCATTGTGGAAGGTTCAGAGAGGCAGGGAGGAAAAGCACATGAGTCTGTTAGAGTGGACCACAGAATACTTTCCTGAGTTAACATCTTCAGTGCTGGAGACGGTGCTCATGTGTGGATAAGCCTGGGCAGTCGGTTCCCTGCTTGTAGAATCTTTTCCCTTTGGTTATTTGGCCAATGGTGGTGTTGGTCGTATTCATCTTTAAGCCTTTTCATTTTATTGCTGTTGGTTGTCACTTAGATATTAAGCATGCAAAATTCCCATAAGGATTCGGTATTGTCTCAAAGACCTATAGAATGGTCGTTAAGGGATGCTCACCAGCACATGTCAGCATGTATCCACACAGCACTGTGGTCGGTGTTACCGAGTGTATAGTATGAGTATAGTATGAGAGGCCTTTCTTAGCTTTGTTGCTCTTGGAAAGGGGAAAATCTCACCCATAACATTTAAGCATTGTGAAGTCTTCCCTGGAGACTCCTCATCCATCAGTGGATCAAGAATTGTCACCTATATACCACTATATTTTGAATATATCCTACATGCCATATATCTTTCAAGCTTCTCTTTGTGGAGTCACTGAATGTCATTTTGTGTGTGTGTAAGCTTTATTTTTATTTATGCATATGAGAACTGGGCTATATGCCAGAGGTGTGGTGGGTAAGAGGTTCACCAGAGACAGAGTTGGGAGCAGAACAGGCAGATCCACAGAAATCCTCTGCTGAGGGGAGCAGCAGGTGAGACAGGAGAGGTTTGCTGTGCCCTGTGTCTTAGCTCCCTGGCTGGGGCGTGGGCTATAGTGGTAACAGCATGATAATACTGAGACTTATCCTGTGCCACCAAGGAGCCCCACTGTGTGCCATTTTAAAGCATGTAGAATATGCAAAAATTTGTTGCAATCAGAAAAACAGATGAGACTTCATGGTGTGTTACTTCTTTCAACCTTATCTGTTAGCAAACCGATAGGTGCTATTCAGAAACAACATAGTGAATGAATGTGTACATGGGTTGGTCTTTATTTCCTTGGTGTAAAGATGCAAAAGCAAATTAACTTATGGAGTTTACTTACTTTGGGCCAGAATAGCTTGTGTTAGCTTATGACTGTAACATTTAGTTCCATGATTTTTAAATAGGAAAGTTGAATCTTGTGAAATGCATATCCCTCAGTAATATCTCAAGATGGATCATGTTTCCCCTAAAATTTCCCTGGGCAAGATAAATAATCAAAGTGGATGACTAAACGATTTCTCAAAGGATGCTGCAGAGAGTGGGAGGTCAAAGGTCAGATGAGAGGTTTGAGTACACCCTGTCACAGAATAGAGACTTTTTGAGTAGCAATATGAAGCCTTAGGAGGAGTAGACAATTGAGGAGGAATTGTAGGCTCTTCCAGTTCAACTCATGTACCACCTCCCAAGAATACAGAAAAAGGATGTGTGTTTTTCAATGAGGTTCTGGAACTGTATTTGCATTTTATTTGCTTTCTCGATGGGCATATTATATTAGGCTTTTAGTTGCCCAGCTATGCTAGTAAGACAGTAGAAAAGATCTTCCCAAGTTTGGATGTTGGAAGGAACAAGAAAAGAATCATTGATGGAAAAAGTGGAAACTATGGTTAATTCTGGTTTATATCACCTGGAACTGCAGAATCAAGACATACAAAGGAGAGAAAAATTAGTAACTGAAAATGAGCGGTTTTATAGTTGAGAAATTCTAGGTTTTTCCCTCACTCAGGAAACCAGGTTGGGTTTAGTGGAACTTTCATCAAACAGGATTTGTACACAAAAATACTTCTAAGAAAATATGTTTTTATACCACTAGTATGAATGAGCTGATGGTATGCAGACAAGACTGTTAAGATTTTGCCTTCTGCTCTCTGTCTACCCTTATAACATCTATGTTTGACCCCATGTCATATTTAAGATGCGTAGCAGTAATAATGAATGAATGTCTCTGATTGGTATCATGCTTGTTTTTCTTCCACAGTTATGCAAATGCACTACTCTCTATTAAACTGGAAGCCTTAACCCAGGGGCGGGATAATCTAAGCTGGAATGAAATTCAGAATTGTGTGGATATGGTTAATCTTCAGATTCTTGAAGAAAATGAACGTAAGTATTAGGCCATTTCCTTCTCTGGATGGTGCACTAAGGATAAGGTGAAGGAAAACCTAGTTCTCTAGGCCTGCAAATTTTGCTCATAGAGCCTTAAGCAGGCACACTCCTCTGCTGTCTGTTATTTTATACCTGCACTGTTTTAACACCACACCATAAACATGCAAAAAGACATTAAAAAGATAACAAAAATACATCAATAAAAGTCCTGTTTTCCTACTAAGATATCAAAGGTGGCTATTCTCCATATCTCAGGTTTTGATGCACCCAACTTTATTTTCACCTTTCATTGGGGCTGGTATTTTTGTGAAGGATGGCATGAGCCCCTACCCTAGGAAGGAATTGGAACACGTGTTGCTTCGTGATCACAAATCATGGTGATTTGCTGTTTCTAAAAATTATGAGCCATCAGCATGGTATGCCCAATATGATAAATATGATATACCCTGACATATGTTTTCTTACTTATTTTTCATCTCTTATAAAACAAAATAAAGAATGAGAACATGTGTAACTTCCGCAATCAGTATATATTCACTGCTTTTCTGAAGCATGAATTGTCAAACTCAGACTTTATAGTATGTTTTCATTATAAAAACAAATAAACCAACACCATCTTTGGCTTCCTTGAATATCTTCAGCTTGTGTAATGTTGGCTTAGGACTGCTAATATCATCGACCTTCTAAAGTTTACCTTTGAGTTCATTTTCTAATTCACTTAATCTAAATTTCTGATGGACTAGGCAGGTAACTTCCCTCACCAGCCCAGGTGTCTCGTTCCAGTGTATGTGAATAAGGTCTTAGGTCTGTTCCTCTAATGTCGTACCTAATTTGGGGTATGAAGTTAGGGATTCAAACTTTGGGATATAACACTCTTGAGATGAAACATATGACTTTGTTCCTTCACAGAATTTGCAGACTTTTACTCTTTTTCCTTTACTCTTTGCTGTGAGCAATGCAATGTACCCAACATCAAGGCCAGATTTGTTGCTTTGTTCCATGTGTTTGTACTTTAGAACCCTGGTTTAAAAAAAGGGTTTCGGGTGAGAAAATAATAAGAATAATGAACAGCCATATACCAGAGACATTTTGTGGGGGTGGAGTGGGGAATGGGATCAGAAACGGTGGGTAGGGGGGAGGGAAGTGCACAGGACTATAGTGATGGCACATGGGTGACTCAGTGATGGGAAGCCCGCGGGGATTACAATTGAGATGGGGGAAAAAAGGCACAAAATGATGTAAAAATAAACTTATATAAAAAATTTTAATTAAACTTAAACAAAATAATAAAAAATTTAAAAGCAGGATCTCGTTGTGCTGCCTTCACACAGTGCACCACGAATGTACTGCTGTTCCCTAGTCCCTGGACACTTCATTTTGTCCTTTTCAAATTGTAAACAAATCAAAAGCAAAGTTTTCTTGTGACTACCCAGCTTTGTGCTGCCTTTCTGCATCTCCTTTCAATGAAGTTGGAATCCCTGCATTCACATGGCTTGCACACAGCTCGCTTAACTCTTTCTGATCACACCAGCTTGGGATGGGTTTTGCCAGATGTTAATCAAGAGGGAAGCACTAATTCAACCTCATGGGAGTGGGGGGATTGGAAAACACTAACATGTATATCCTGTTACAAAGTTCAGCCCCCATGGGCCTCTCTGGTGGTGCAGAAGTTAAAGTCTCAGTGCTATCAAGCTGTGGCAGCCATTGCAGCATGAGTTCGATCCCCAACCGGGGAGCTGACCCACGTGGCACTGCAGACCTCTCCTGCCTTGCCTGCTACTTCTCTTAGCAGTGTATTTTGGTAGATCTGCCTAACCTGTTCTCACTCCCTTGTCCCCCCACCTCTGGCCTACTCCCCAGTTTTTTGTGTGCATAAATGAATAAAAATAAATCTTTAAAAATTAAAAAAAAAAAAAAAAAAAGCTAAACCCAGTCCCCCAGACATCTGCCCTCTTGCCTTCTTTACTTCAGATCCGCATTCTGAATCTCTTGGGTGCTTGGGCCAATACTACCCAAGAGGTAGGATCCCTCTCTCTCTTTGGGTTAGGCAAAACCAAGAATCATGTCTAATCTTTGTTACCTACTTTGAACAGTTCTTTCTGGAAGTGACACAGCCTAGACTTGCTTTGGTGATTTTGTATGTGCTGCTTATAAAAGTGAAGCTGCATTCATTCTCAGGGTTTGACAATTTTAGTATTACGCCCATTCTTTACATTGATTCAGAGGGGTACAAGGAAGGTGATGTCATTTTTTTTGTCCTGAATTATCAAATAGACTGCTTTTGCCAGGAAAAGAAAGCAAGTAACATTTGTATAGAAAAGAATGGTTTTATTTACGTAAATGTTCTTAAGCAAAAATCTCTTCTGATTGGTGTGGTGGCATTTATGTAGGTAATTGCACTACTAAGTTACTCTCCAGTGGAGAGTATCTTTACCATGTGGCCATTATCACTTCTTGCATCTTTGTTGTGCAGGTATAAGCCGTAACCAAAGTAGTTACTTTGGAGACTGATGTTTCCTTTCTAGAATTTGGGGAATTTTTTAAAAGTAAATCATTTTTCTTTGTTTTGGTTTGTTTTGTTATTTTGCAAAATGATGTGCTTCTGCTAATCATTCTTGAAGCATTGAGTTTGGTATCATGTGTTTAGGCAATTATGTAAAAAGTTAAATTGTGCTTTATATTTGTTTATATAAATACATACATGAATTGTACAATATAGTAAATATATCCTCTGAAGAGCTGATAACTTTCCATGAGTGTCTGTAAAGTTCATTGCTTTCCATCCAACCTCTGCCACACATTTCAGGGTGTAGTCCTGAGTTTAAATGGTGACCTAGATAAGGTAAGGGCTAGTGAGGTGTGTCCAGAACGGACAGTGTACTAGAGAAGCTGTTCCACGCATATCCTCAGGCTTGGGTGCTCTTGATTTTTTTTTTTTTAAAGATTTATTTATTTGTACATGCAGAACTGGGGTACAGGCCAGAGGCTCAGGGGTGGCGAGAGGCTTCACTAGAGACAGAGCGGGGAGCAGAACAGGCAGATCGACGAAGTACACTGCTGAGGGGAGCAGCGGGCGGGTCAGGAGAGGTCTGCCAGGCCTTGTGGTCACCTCCGGGGTGGGCGGGGATCGAACTCATGAGGAAGTGGCTTTAGCTTCTCAGTGCAGTGCTTTAACCCGTTGCGCCACCAAGGAGGGCCGTGCTCTTGATTTTTTTTACTGAAAAGATTACTTTTCCCAGTAGAGCCATAGAGGAGCATTATTTTAGCCATGTAGTGTAAAGAAGGAAGCTATTTTTCCTTTGAATATTTGCTCTTTAAGTTTTTAAAGTACTGATCTTTGTAAGTTACCTCATCCACTGTCTTACACAAAATCTAGGAATGTCTGTTCTGCCTCTGCGATATTACAGTCTCACACTTGATTTAGAGATGGAGACTATGGTCGGAAACTCAGTTATCTTTGCTCAAATGGGATTTCCTCTTTACTTAGGCACACAGGAAGTGATACAGATGTGCCCAGGGGGGTTCTGGGTAGGTCTTTCAGCTCCTGTGAGGTCATTTACTATGACCTCAGTGGCTGTGTTCTTAGAAGTACAACAAAGACTTTAAGCAGATGATTTCAATCAAGTCAGCTGGAATGCACTCACTCCCAGGTGACCGGCCATTAGGAACACAGAGTCTTTTCTCACATGTGCCTCTATTAAGACCATTCTTGGATGGGGTGTTTAAGTAATTCAGAACAGTCTATCCCAGGGGATGTGCAGAGTATGATACAAAGTACTCTTCAGTTTCTAATTCCTGCAGGGTAAAATGATAATACCTTGTATGTGAGTAGTACTTAAACTGGTCCACGTTCCCCCACTGTTTTTAGATATGTATCTTGCATGTTAGAAACGACTTTTGCTTGTCTTCAAATCTTTTTAAGTGCTATCATCTGGAATTACTCATAGGCACTTGAGATTATTCCATTTATCCTACAGATAAAATTTCCTCATTCTTACCAAGGTGCTATTTGTGGCGTTGCCTGTTCAGGAAATATTCAGCTAAATATTCTACCTTAATATGTAGGTCAAGATGAGATACTTCTTAAAAAACAGAAGTGCTCAATTTTATAGCCTATCATGTTTATGAAGTGACTTATGATTGTTGAAAAATAACTGACAAAATAAGAAATTAAGTTTGGCTTTAAGAATGTTTATTATTAAACTTATTGTTTGTTAATGCTTACTAGTTTCTTTACTAACCTGGAAAGCAAACCCCCTCTCTGTTAGTGTATATATATGTTTGTACATTTTATGTATATTTTCATATACATATATATGTGTGTGTATATATACACACACACACGAAAACATTATGAGTTTGACTGGTTGATAGTTTATTTTTAATCATAATGTGGTATAAAGAAGAGGACTACAAATAAATCCCCTCTCCTGGAGCTTTAAAGCATTTCAGATTGCATAGTTTGGTTCGTACCTGGGCTTTATTATAGTCTATATCCTAAGATCTGTGGCTTGGTAGAGATGGTGGTAGAAGGCTAATCTGGTGAATTTGCTTATTCTTGCTTTGGTGCATCCACTCTGGGGCTACAAATGTTATTTGACCCGCTCTTATTATAGAAACAATTTGTGATATTAATTAGCAATATGTGAACCTTAAAAACATTCCAAAGTATGCAAGACATCGTTAGTTTCTATGGTGCCTCCCTACACTTCCCATCCCCATGTAACAATTGTAATTAATGTTAAAATATGAACTGGAGTTCTTCAGTCATACCAGCTATGTTTTAAATTTCTTATTTAAATTTCTTATGACATAAAAGAGAATTTTTTCTTTATTTTCTAGGAATTGTAGCTGTAGGGTTCATCAATGAAGCGATCGATGAAGGAAATGCTTCTAGAACTTTGGAGACTCTACTATTACCTAATGCTAAAATTAAAAATGTGGACCCAGACTACGCCCAGCACTACCAGGATGTTTTATACTACGCTAAGTCTCAGAAAGTCATGGTAAGTCTTAGTAGCTTTGGTTTTCTTAAAACAAAGGTTCAGATGGAGGAGAAGGAGAAAGGATTTTTGACTCATTTTTCTTCAAAGCTCATGAACTTCTTGTTCCAGTGACTGACTATGGACCAGAAAGAAAGTAGCAGGCTACTACTTTCCTGGTGTCAAGCATTACCCGGAGGCTTGACACTGTTTATAGCTTCTACTCCTTCATTTAAAACTCAGTCATGGGTGAGTGCTTTTCAGAGCCCACGTCAGTGGGCATTTCCTGAGCACCTACTCTGTGTGTGCTGCAGCATATAGTCTCTGATCAGAGAACCCACTATCGGAAGAGCATACGGATAACATTTGAATATTCTCTGTCCTTATTCTCAAGATACTTAGAAACTTATTGAAGAACGGGCATTCTTGAGTATAATAATAAAGTAACAATAGGAATATTTTGCAAAGTATCAAAAGAGGAGAGCACAAAATGATTCAGAGATGGATAGGGCTGATGTGGGCTGGACTGCTAAGTGAGGCTGGTGTGGGAGTAAAAGAGGAACTGCACCTGCAAGGAAAGCAGGGGTGAGGGAGAGCAGGCAGACACTTCAGTCTGGGCTCGGGAGCAAACTGATCTAGCCCGTCCTTTCGAGAAGCAGGTAGTTTTATCTGGTTGCAGAGCTTGTGTGATGCACCAGTCATAGTGGGCAGTTATTAAACTGAGTAGTGAGGCTCTTTAGAGCTGGAGTGAAGTCACCTGAGACTAGCCACCTCGCTGCCATGTTCAGGTGCAAGGCCACCTGGGAAGGGGTGGAGATCTCCTTCATATATGCCTTCAGAACCCAGGAGCTAACTCATCTGAAACAGGAAAAAAATTCTTCAGTAAAAGAAAACATTGTGCACCTGCTGTTTGTCAGGCATTATCAGGTACTTTCTACTTATTACCTTCAGGAACACAGCAACTTTATGAATTCATTATTACTCACATAACCTTTCAAATAATGAAACTAAGACTAAGTTGTCCAGACCTATCCGTAAAGTAATTAGTTCTGGAACGATGCCGAGGTCTGTCTGATTTAGTAACAATTTGTTGTGTATTAAGGCAAATGAAAAATATTTTTTCATGTTTATGCCAACAAAAGTTCAAAAACAATCTAAATGCCCTGTGAGACAGTACTAGTTAATAAGTAAATTGCAGTATATCTATGTAGTGAAATACTATGCTGCCATCAGAAAGAATGAGTGAGTCTGTATTGGGCAGTCTATTTAATCTGTGTATTGATAAGTTCAAAAACATGTTTCCAGTAGCTTGTATACATACCTATAACATATATCCATGTGTGTGTGTATAGATGTATATATGCTTATAAGTTTGTAAACTTTCAGAAAGGTGCATTAGAAGGCAGGGATATATTGGAGACTTCTTTTTCACCCAGCTTTTATACCATTTAGGTTTTATCTTTTAGAGTGTAGTTATTATAAACTCAGTGTTCCTAAACTTTGAGTATATTACAAACTCAGTGTTTCTAAACTTTGAAAAAGCAATGCATAAAGCTCACAGAGGGTCATTTCCACTGGTAAATCTTCTAGGTTCTAGAACAGGATCTACAATCCCAATATACATTTTCCCTCCAAGTAGCTAACTTTAACTCAAGTCACTAGAAATATTTTGGTGTCCAAACTTATACAAAAGTGTTGCCTCTGGGGAAAAGAAATAAGTGGCCAGGGAAGAAAAAGATACACTTTGAATCTTTTCAGTTTTGCACCATGTACTTACCCATGCACAAAAAAAAAAAAAAAAAAAAAAAAA